TATAATAAAAAATTAAATTATAGAAATTACATAAAAATGTTTAAATAGTTAATTTGATACTAATATTTTTTTTTCAAAATTTTATAATATTTTTAAATTTATATTTCATTCAAAAATAAAAATATTTTCTTTTTTTCTCAAAACCACGTAAAATCGCATTACAATATCGATAGAACCAAAATATAAAACAAAATATTAAAATAAAGATGTATCTCGTTGTATTACGTCGATACCTTCTACTGAATCTAAAAAGATAGCAACTTGAATTGTTGGAAACTAGATTAAATATTTATTGGAATGAATATCTTTTTAATAAAATACAAGTTTCTAATGGATAAAAAATTGTTAGTGGTGAGAGAAAATATATCGCAACATGCCGACCACAAATCACAACTTTTTTCTTTATTTTCCTCCATAAGTAATTATAGTATTATATTATTTCCTCTAATGATTTATGATGAATATTGTTGTAAATATATTTATTTTGTTGATTTTTTAAATTTATATAATATAAATCAAAAACGCAAAAACTTCAACAATATTCATAATTGATAATTTATGTTATGTAATTTAATTAAAAGCGGATAAGAATATCGGTGTGAGTAGAAAGTATAATACATTATTTATATTTTCTTTTTTTTTTCAAAACATATAATCGAAAAATAAAGTTAGCATACAGAGTTTGTAAAATGAATTAAACATGTCATTCGGCTACGAAAGTATCAAATTACACCGTTTACTCGACTTTCAGTTTAATATAATGAATCAACTTTTTAATTTGATTATCAAAACCGTATTGTTTTGAACTTTTATGGTATGGCTTATTGTCTGTATTGTATACATTAATTTGTCAGTTCTAACTACACCTCTGATGTCCACCCACCAAAATGAAATGTTTTTTCTTCATAAAGATCGTTATAATATGGATACATTTATTATAAACAATTAAAATGATCATAATTGATAAGTTTTTTCAGGGTTGCCTTTTTTAAAATCCTTCATTAAATTATATAACAAATTAAACGATTTTGGATTTAAAAAATATATATTTGATGATATTGACAACTACGATAAGCATATTGGAAAAAAGATTTGAATATAAAATATCTTTTATATTGCTTTACAATATTTTTAGAGCAAAGTACTTATTAATTAAGTGTTAGAGTGAGCTACAATTTTGGTTCTTGTGGTTTGTTAGAAATAATATTTTTTATTCTTGTAGTTTTAAAATTATAAGATGATTATCATGGTTTGTAAAAATGTTCAAATTTGGTCTCTCACTCTAATGGTTGTTAAAGATTCAGCTAAATAAAGAATATTTTTCTTCTTTTATTATTTTATTTTTTTGTCCAATAAAAACAATGGACCAAAATCATAAACTTGATTTTGACCGAGTAGAAAACAAAAAATATAAAACAGGGCGAAAATTCCCTTCATGTAATAGAAACTTTTAACAACCGTTAGTGGAAAGGACTAATACGGATATTTTTACAAATCATGATGACCAAATTATAATTTTAAAATTGTAAATGTGAAAAGTGTTATTTCTGATAATCTACAAGGACCAAGTTTGTAGTTTACTCTAAAGGGAAAATTGCACCAAAATGGAACCAACTTTCACATGATTTCTATTTTGGGGAACGAACTTTCAAAATCGTCATTTTGGGGAACCAACTTTCACCTGATTCCTATTTTGGGGAACCAACTTTCAAAATCGTCATTTTCGGGAACCAACTTGCACCTAATTCCTATTTTGGGGAACCAACTTGAAAAATAATTATAAAAAAAATGGGAAAATCACACCAAAATGAAACCAACTTTCACTTGATTCCTATTTTGGGGAACCAACTTTTAAAATCGTCATTTAGGGGTCTCTATCGAACTTTTTGTTTATTTAAGGGTCTGATTGATCTGTTGAACATGTAACAGATAATTTAAGGGTCTCTATCAAACTTTTGGTTGGATTTGCCAAATTTGATTTAAATTTTAATATTGACACAGATTGGTTAGATATAAAAATCTTGAATGTGATATTTAATATTTATTTTTTATTGCATCAATTAATTTTTTTTATTAAATTGATTTTTTATTGCATTAGTAAAAAACAATTTTTATCGTGGTAATTTGGATTTTTTCGAAAAATCTTCAATTTGATATCTGAATTTAAAAAAACGAGATTTGAAATGAAAAATAGATTTTATTGCATTAATTTTTGAAAAGAAATGAATTTTAGTTATTTTTCTATAATTATTATGCAAGTTGGTTTCCCAAAATAGGAATCAGATGCAAGTTGGTTCCCCAAAATAACGATTTTGAAAGTTGGTTCCCCAAAATAAGAATCAGGTCCAAGTTGGTTCCTCAAAATAAGAATCAGGTCCAAGTTGGTTCCCCAAAATGACGATTTTGAAAGTTGGTTCCCCAAAATAGGAATCAGGTGAAAGTTGGTTCCCCAAAATAATAATCAAGTGAAAGTTGGTTCCCCAAAATGACGATTTTGAAAGTTGGTTCCCCAAAATAGAAATCAGGTGAAAGTTGGTTCCCCAAAATAGAAATCAGGTGAAAGTTGGTTCCATTTTGGTGCAAGAGATCTAGATCTTTGATCACTTTTAATCTCACATCCATCTCATAAATTGCAATTCTCACGAGAATTGATCCCATGCATCTTAATGTATAGCATTAGTGTTGATCTTCAATTAGGATTGATCGAATGATGAAAATCCTTTCTTACCCTTTTCAACAATACTTTTATTCTCACCAAAATTCAAATATTTTCAATTATAACTTTATATATGATACAAAACATTTAATCAATAGAACTACACTACACCATAATAAAATGTTCATAATTTATTTTTAGTTGATTTTTAAATAAATATTTATTTTGTTATTCTACTTTTAATTATGATATAGATAAAATCTTTCAATTTAGAGTAAATTACGTTTTTTTTCCTTGTGGTTTATTATAAATTGTGAATTTCATCCCTGTGGTTTTAAAATTTCGATTTTCGTTCGTTTATTTTATTATTCATTTTTATTTTCGTCTCACTTTTAAGTATAAATGACTAAAATAGAAATGAATTTTAGCCATACCGACGAAATAAAAAACAATAAATTTTAAATCATAAAGACGAAAATATTATTGAATTGTAAATCATAGGGATGAAAATAGAAATTTTCAACAAACTATAGAGACTAAAAACATAATTTAACCTTCAATTTATTACTAATAATAAAATTGTTATTTGATTAATTAAAAAAAAAATAACAATTACACACCTTTGAAACTTTGTGTTTTTAGAGGGTAGAAAATAATACCAAACAATAATTACCTTTGGCATGTAAATTAGTTGACAAAGTGGTGACAGGAACGTTTCAATCTTTTTGGACATCCTTTTACATCTAAAACTTTTGATTGCATTATATAAATGAGATATTAGAGAATATATGTTAAGAACAAAAATGGATTAAACCTAAAACGATTAATAATCTGAAATTAAACATAAACCATTAATGGTTTGAATCTAAAACCAAACAATTAATTGTTTGAACATAAATAATTTCGGCTATACTTTTACACAAATCATTAAAAAGACCATGAACACATGTAAATTTGGGTCCCAAAATTTTGAAGGCCATGTTAAGAGATGATCCTGAATGAGATGAATTGACTCAAATATAATATAAATCGTGGGTTTGATCAGAGGCTACTAGCCACACTCTTACATTGATGTCGTTCAAGATGAGTTTTATAAAAGACTCGTTGACTATTAATAATGGATTTTTTTACGTAAATACCAAACAAATGATTATAATAATATTGAAAAAGGATTATAAAATGAGACAAAAATGTAAAATTATTCTTGTGAAAAAAAGTGGAATAATTACTTTTCAGCCAAAAAAGATATTCCATTTCATCTTCTCTTTCTCTTTCTCTTTCTCTTCTCTCTCCATCTTCTTCCCTGCAAAACAACCATAAAAACCCATTTCTTTTCCTACATTTTCACCTCTGATTCTTCATCACTCTGCAAACAAACAAAAAAACCTTCCAGTTTCAGACAAAGTGTTTGAATCTATCAAGGTAAACAGATCCCTTTTACACAATCTATCTATGTTCATGGTATCTTCATATTAATGGTAAGCTTTTTGAGGCATGCATTATTCATCTGGGTCTTCTTTACAATCCATGTTCCTATTTTTGCTGAGATTAATCAGACATTTCTGATTTTGAGGTCTGTATCATTTTTGCCACTCTAACTCACCTTCAGTTTTCATTCATTTGGTTCGTCATTTACTTGAAATTAATCACTTCAGTTTTTATTGGGTTAGATTTTATGTTCAAATATTCTTGAAATTAATGATGAACTATCTGATTATTGAGTTATGCATCCTATATCAATCTAATCTCACTTCAGTCTTAATTAAGTTTCCCTGTATTTTGATCCTTCTTGACCATGTATGTTCATATTTTCTTGAAATTAACTATAAAACTTTCCGACTTCTTTGGGTTGTTTGTTTAGCTCTTAATAGTTCCGTTAAGAGCCGATATCTGAATCGTTAAGAGGTGAATCTTGTTTGGAAAAAAAAAGTCTTGCCTCTGAATGGTTTTGTATTATGGATCTCCCTTTTTAACCATTAAGAGCCCTAATTTCATTGTACACAATTACCAAACAATTATATTTCAATTTGCACTATATTATGAGAGCCTCTTAATCATTCTGCTCCAAACCATTTAGCAATTGACAAACAGCCGTTTTCGTTCTTGCTGTCATCAAAATATGTATCAAGATTAGAGAATGCAGATTTGACTGACATTTGATGAGGTTATAACCAAGGGTAAAGGTTCAATCTTTTTGGGGTTTTCCAGTTTATAAAGGGGAAAAAGGCTTGACATTTGTTTGTTTGTTTGTGAAAAATTAAGGGATATCAAGATCAAACCCAAGGGAGAAAAGGGTAATTATGTCTTTTATTGGGACACAGCAGAAATGCAAAGCTTGTGGAAAGACTGTTTATCCAGTGGAGCTTTTGTCTGCTGATGGTGTTGATTATCACAAGTCATGCTTCAAGTGTAGCCATTGCAAGGGAACCCTTAAGGTATTATCATTTAGATGTGAAATACCTATATTAACCCTGTACAAACATAGCCTTTATTTGGGTCGTGTTTGGATAAATGACCTTAAATGAGTTTTCAATTTGACATGTCCCTGATTCAAAACAGTCTGCTACCGTTAAAACTTAGAAATACAGTAGAGGGTCATTTTGCAAAACGAGCTTATGGAGAAGGTCATTGAGCTAAACAGCCTCCGTCTTTTATGTGTATGCGTGCATTGTTTTCATGTTAAAGTAATTACAATCGTCTTTCAGCTGAGCAATTACTCGTCAATGGAAGGTGTATTATACTGTAAACCTCACTTCGAGCAGCTGTTCAAGGAGAGCGGAAATTTCAACAAGAACTTCCAATCACGTATGCTTTTTATTCACTCATTTCTTCTCCGTTTCCGGGTTTCTAGTTTTGTTTCTGATCAGTTTTGACGTTCTCGACAGCTGCAAAGTCTGCTGAGAAATTAACGCCACAGCTGGTACATTTTCTTTGTATCTATGTTGGATATATATGTATAGCGCAGGTTTAATGGAAAATTCCCAAAAAATGAAAAACTGATGAACGCTTTGGTATATGTCCATTTGGAGGGTATGCATATGAGCATACAAGTAATTTGTAAGCAATTTGTCCGGTAAGCACATGCGCATAAAAATCAAGAAACAACTTCAATTACTTTATGCACATGTTCATATTTTCCAGATGAATGATTGGTAGAGCGTTCCTCAACTTCTTTTTTTGGGGGTTTTCCCCCGAACCTCCCTCTCTCTCTCTCTCTCTCTATATATATATATATATATATATAGCAAAGGTGGTTGTAAGTTATGTGTGTTTGTAAACATTTGTGTAGACAAAGTCACAAAGCAAAGCTGCCGGTATGTTTTCTGGCACCCAAGACAAATGTGCTACTTGTGGCAAAACAGCTTATCCTCTTGAGAAGGTATGAACCTAAACCTCTTTTGTCTATTGGATGCATAGAGGTCAGGTCTGTGTATATCTCACTGTTCAGACCCTACTTCCGGTTGGGACATATTGGATCGGTTTAGTTAGGTTTGGTTTATCAGTATTTTACGTACATTCTTGCATAGCCGAGGGTCTTTATGGAAACAACTGTCATACTCTTAGAGGTAGAGGTCCTACATCTCCAATAATAATTATGCTATAATTTTTCTAAAATAGAATATCTAAAAAGAAATTACATACAACTCCAATAGCTACTCTATTTTAGCAATTCCAGCATTAGTGAGCAAAGTTAACTTTAAAAGCCACAATATTTCAGGTGACAGTGGAGAACGAAGCATATCACAAGTCGTGTTTTAAGTGCTCGCATGGAGGATGCTCGTTATCGCCGTCAAACTACGCAGCACTTGAAGGAATTTTATACTGCAAGCATCATTTCTCGCAGCTATTTAAGGAGAAGGGTAGTTACAATCATCTCGTCAAGTCCGCAACCATCAAACGCTCTGCCGCAGCCGCTACCGCAGCCGCAGCCGCAGCCGCCGCAGCCACCGGTGTTCCTGAAGCTTGAAACTTGGTTCAAATATATCATCTTACCAGTGGACGTTTGGTTTGTTCTAATTTTCCGCTTGGTTGTCGTTGATGATTACTCTTGATTTTCTAGCCTTTTGATGTGGTTCAACACAGGCAAACTCCCTCGCCCATGTGTGTCGGTTCAAGGTTGGTTTGTGTTCGATATGTCGGTTTCGGGTTTGGGTATTTATTTTGGTTCATAGATTTGGGTTTAGATTTTAATTATCATAGACTACTAGTTAGTAACAAGGTTTGCAAAAAGTTTCGAATAGATCAATGGACCTGTTAAAACAGACCATCAAGGTTTTAAGTTGATGTTACTAAAAAAAAACCTTAAAACTTACTGAATTGAACAAATACAATTTTGATGTTACTAAAATAGAAAAAATAACCAACGATTTTGCAATTTTTAAACGATTAAATCAATGAAATAAATTCTTAAAAGTTATACAAAGAAAAATATATAACAGACTATAACGAACCAATAAAATAAAATAAAAATACAACTTTTTTATATAAGGTAAATTGCATGAAAAAGTAATATATTTTAATTTGATTCTTATTTTGGTAACGTACTTTTAAAACTTTCAATTTGGTATCTAAGATGTAAAGTTTAAACATTTTAGTATCCGGTTGAAGCATTAACCGATTATCATGCTGATGTGACGAGTGATATGGTTACTATGCTGATGTGACGAGTGATGGAATAAAATTGAGTTCATTAGCAAATAATACTGAGTTGAATACCACATCACTCGCCGCATCAGCATGATAATCGGTTAATGCTTCAACCGGTTACATGAGTACTTAAATGTTTAAAACTTTACATATTAAATATCAAAATGAAAGTTTTAAAAGTACGTTACCTAAAATAAAAATCATTTAAATTAAGTTACTTTTTCATGTAATTTGCTTTTTTATGTAATATTGTTTGTTTTTCACATTCAATTGATAATTGCAGGTGTTTGTTGTCCTCTTGATTCTCATTTGAATGAAAAATAAATAAATATTATAATTTTTTATGATTTCCATTTGAATTTGAAAAATAAATAATTGATAATGGAAACAGTATAATATTTTTGTTACTGATTTATTGTATTTTATTATTGATTCATTGATACATCTGTAGATAAATGATATGTTTGTTTTGTTTCATAATTCATTTGTTCAAAAAAAATTCCAAGGGTTTAATAATTTAAAATATGAAAATTCTTTGGGTATAATAAATTTAGGAATTTATTTGTTTGATTTCAATAAGTTTAAAAATTTATTTGTTAGAAAAATAGAAACCTGTGAGTGGTTTACTGAACGCTTATAAACATTTATCCAGTATCATTTACCTTACCAGATGGACGTAACAATAACAGATAATCTTATCTGGTAATGTAATGGACATAACATAAACAATCAATCTTTTTCGATGGCAAGACTTACCAGGTAAAACGTGTTCACCAACAACCAATTTCAATGGACGAAAATATTACTTGATAACGTAAGTTGTGACTATTGCCGGCAAACACCTTAATCATTCAAATTGTAGCCATAGTAGGGTTTCTTTGAACGACAGCGTTTTCAAGGTCGGTATCTGGCGGGAATGCATTTCTTTCCCGCCAAAACCCTCTCGTGTTTCTAGACTTCTACTCCCTGCTGTTTGCCTCTTAACTCTCTCTCTCTCTCTTTGAAATCAGCAAAAACAGTTTTCTCTCTCACACGCACAAAAGAAAATGCTGGAACTCAGGTTGGTGCAGGGGAGCTTGTTGAAGAAAGTGATGGAATCCATAAAAGATCTGGTGAACGACGCCAACTTTGACTGCTCGGCCACCGGATTCTCATTGCAGGCCATGGATTCAAGCCATGTAGCGCTGGTCTCACTCCTCCTCAGATCCGAGGGTTTTGAGCACTACCGATGCGATCGTAACCTCTCAATGGGAATGAATCTCGGTAACATGGCCAAGATGCTCAAGTGCGCCGGCAATGACGATATTGTCACCATCAAGGCCGACGATGGGGGCGACTGTGTCACTTTCATGTTTGAAAGCCCCAGTAATGCTTCCTTCTTCCCATTTGTACATTGCATTAGTTTACCTCTTCATATTTTTTGCAAAAATGAACCCAACAACGTGATCACTATTGAAATTTTGAGTGTTTCTAACGCATTTTTGTTCGATGTATGACAAATTGTTCATTTGAATTGAAGCGATCATATTAAAAGTACAATTGTCGATTGGTTTTCTGTTCGTTAATTCTAACTGATCTCAATTAGGACAGTTATGGAGGATCACATATCTTCTGTTCGTCACTTCTTTCTATGCATTTTTGTGTATGCATATTTGATGTGTGGTGATTCCGGTGTTTTCTTCTGCTTCGTTGATACTTTGATGTCTTTTGGATTGAACTTTGGATATGTGTGTTGAGTGAAATACTTGAAATGATCCAGATCAAGATAAGATTGCTGATTTTGAGATGAAACTGATGGACATCGATAGTGAGCATCTTGGGATACCAGAAACAGAATATGAAGCCATTGTTCGAATGCCATCATCTGAGTTTGCAAGAATCTGCAAAGATCTTAGCACCATAGGAGACACTGGTATTTCTTTCTTTCTTTCTTTCACCATACATTCTTATAATGACTTCACATTCTTCATACACCCTATGTAATTTTCAAAAGTTAACCATGAATGCTAATTCTGGGATCAAATTGGTGGGTGTAGTTCTGATATCTGTTACGAAGGAAGGTGTAAGGTTTTCAACCAAGGGTGACATTGGGACTGCAAATATTGTGTGCAGACAAAACACATCTGTTGACAAGGTACGTAGGCTAAACTATATGAAAGATCATTTAGAGCCTCTGGTTTTGAATCCCACTTTTGAGTATTGCCATTGTGTGTCAATTGGGTGTGGTTAATTGGATCTATTTCAGAAGAGAGAATGTGAATTCTATGTACACTTTTGCAGCCAGAAGAAGCTACTATAATTGAAATGGAGACACCGGTTTCATTGACATTTGCACTGAGGTATATGAATTCTTTTACAAAGGCAACCCCACTGGCGACCCAAGTGACAGTAAGTTTGTCTTCTGAACTGCCTGTTGTGGTTGAATACAAAATCGGAGAAATGGGTTATCTGAGGTTCTATTTAGCTCCAAAGATAGAAGAAGATGAGGAGATGGGTCGTCATCAGGCAGAACCAGTGGCAGTGGAAACCAAGAAAAAACCCGAGAAAACGCCAAAAACTGAACCCAAAACCAATGGTGAACCAAAACGTCGTGTCATGAAGATAGACCTTGACGAGGAAGAAGAGGAAACAAAACCAAAGATCGTAAGTGAAACCAATGGGTATGTTGAAGTTGTGGGTTCTAAGCCTGGCACCGGCATTATCAAGCCTAAGGAAGAAGTGAACGGTGAAGTGGAGGTCATGGATGTCAAGCCTAGCATTGAAGCTGCTGCAGCAAAGGCCGAGAAAGAAACGAATGGTGGTGAAGCTGACGTAATGGATGTCGAGTAGACTAACAATGGCATTTCGAGTCATTAGATATATAGGGTTAAGAGGTGGTTTTTTTGTTCATAGTTTAAGGTATCAGCTATTGGGTTAATTTTGATATGCCAGATGAGAGCATTTGTAAACCCTACTCTGAGTAGAAAATTGAATCAGGTTTTTGTGTTCTAATCTCTTCAAAATTCTGTGTTAGTGGTGGAACTTTGGTTGATTAGATTAAGTTTCCTTTTAACATATGCAGATATGAAAAGTTGTATCTTGTTTACTATGAATGAGGAGGGCGAGGAAGGGGGGGGAGGGGGAGGGGGGGGGCACATGGATAGTTACGGTGGCATAGACCTCTAAAGGGTACCACTGTTCTTGTTCTGGTGCCACCATATACTTTTTAAAACTGAAATTTTAACCCAGGTTTGAGTCCTAAAGTTTTTTAGCTTAAATTTTTGATTATTTTTATATACCTTTTTGTATTTTCAAAAACTAGAAGGATACTCGTGCAATGCATCGAGACACATCATGATTTCAGTGTTTTGTTTTATTTTATTTTATGTCAATATAGTTTTATGTGGTTTTGGAAAAAACGATAATGTTTTTATTTTTGAATAAAATATAAATTTGAAAATATCATAAATTTTTTAAAAAAAATTATATCGATATAAATATCAAATTAATATTTTTAAAAGTTCTTTCCTTAATTCAATTTTTTAATTATAATTTAATTTAGATTTACTAACAAAGAAATTTAATTTAAGTTTAATAATATAATTTTTATGTAGATAATAATTAAGTATTCTGTTAAAACTCAATAATTATCTTAATTATATTTTAGATTATTTATATTTAAAATAAGATGTTTATCCAATATTTGATTATCTTTATCTGCAGTTAGTTACATGAATTCGGAATTTTAATAAGTTGTACTTATGCATAATTTACTTGTAATTTTAAATTTTAAGTAATATGCATCAATAAACAGTATTTCGTACATAAAAGATGGTCTTTAAAATTTTTTATCAAATGTTTTTATAATATAGTATAGATATATGTAAAGAAGATTTGAACATGACTCTTTTCTATGTAAGAACAACCTACATAATTATATTAATATTGTGTATTTTTTTATTGATATTTTTTAGTCAAATAGTGCCACTTTGAAATTCTTTTTGGATCCGTCTCTTCTATAAATGGTTGGGGGCAATTATCTAAAATTTTGGACCTTGACACAATGGGAGAAGTCTTGAATAATAAATAAAATGTATAAGTTTAAATATAACATAATATCTATTAATAATTCTACAATACTTGACTATGCCTAAACACAGATGAGACTAATGGGCTTCTTATTTTTTGGATTTTTTTCATATTGCCGTTACAAGTGTGAAGCTAGCTGCCCCCAAAAGCTTAAATTTAAGAAGAAAATGAATTTGAAGGACAGCAGGCAGCAGCACCTGCACCTAAATTCTAACCTGGCTTAAGAGGATCATCTAAGCTTTGATAATTAAATTAAGGCTCTCTCTCTCTCTCTCTCATTTGGTGCTACGCTTCTTTGCTTCACTGTAAAGAATGACTCCGATGACGGTGAGGGTGTATCCAGCCATCCCAGTTACAGAAACCGGATTTCTAAAGATGAGTATCGAAACCACAACTGCTACTGCTCCCTTTGCATTTCCCAGCACCTGTTTCAAAATCAACCACCCCACTATTTGTTATCAAAATCACCATTCTTTGGATACAGTAATCAAGAGACCATTAAATAGTTATATCAATTTTCCATTTACAAACCAAGGTAAGAAACACATGGATAATGGTACTGCCCAATTGCACATGAGTTAAACTTCAAATCATGAAAGAAAGACTATGCCTTTGTGCCATTTCAAGTTGACATAGATCAAGTCATCATCCTGCTTGATTGTTTCATACATACTCTTTCTGCTCCTAGGTGGGCTCACTCCCAGGCTAAAGTTTATCAATTATGTTCCTTAGGTGGCTAAGGTTCTTTTTTGATAAAACTGAATGTATAAATAGTGAATGATTAAGAGGTCATTTACAAGGTCCTGTCTTGAATTAGAACTGAATAAACATCGATTGTTCGATAAGTTCTTAGTGAGCATCTGATCTTAGACAACTTGTATTTCAAATAGAAAATCTTATTTGTCTTATAAGATAATAAATGATGTCTTGCTATTGCTTTACCAAGAGGGGGTTGCATTAATCAACTACATACAGTAATAACAAGGTAAAAAAACAAAACAATGATAATAAGAAAATAAACAAGATTTTCCTTGAAAAGAATGAATATACAGCTTTACTGAACTTGGATGCAAACAACAAGAAAGAGAGAGATTGACAGGTGTTAATGAGGGAGGGAGGGGAGGGGGTGAGTTGAGAGCTATGAATCTGATTCAGCGTTATTACCTCATTTGACTGATTTAAAGCTTGCATAACCATCCAAACACTGAAATTATTTTAACAAAAAGATCAAGCAATTCAGATCCATTAAGATGATACAAACAAACACCACCAAAGTGTTGTACCGTATTCACACATACCTAAACTAGAGTTCATACATCTCCCTCTTCAACCAATTATCTAGTCACAAACCTCCCTTCACTACAAGTTTGATATCAACCCTGACCTTGACCCAATTGCATATGCAACTACACAACTAAACTCATAAGTCATAACCATATTAACCAAAAGCTTAAGATCATTTATCAGAAACCAAAAAGATCCCTAATAAGTCTTGAACTAAGTACGTGCTTGCTAGTTGCTACCCACATCAAGGGTCATGGTAGAGCCTTAATGCATAAGCAACTTTGATAACTCCAACAGCTCCAATGTGGCAAAAAGAATATTGATTCTAGCAAATGAATATATCTTATGCATACTGATTTTGTCAGAGCTTATTTTTGCATGCGAGTATATGTTAAGCGTATGATTGTCATTTCGTTGAGCTTTTATGCTTGTTTAGATTTTAGCACTCTACTCCCTACAGTGGCCTTCTCATATATCAATTTCATTTATTCGTGTTAAAAAAGAGTGATTATGGCCAAAGTAACAAGCAATAGAACATATACCTACAGAAAACTAAAGGGAAATATGACGGAATGTATTTAAGAAATCTTTTAGTAAATTCCCAATTTCCAATTTTTATATTTTCACTTCGTCTTCCTAACTCCCTGTTTTGAGCATGATAATGAAGCACAAAAAAGTTAAATGAATGAATAAATAACTACATACGAAGTAAACAAGAGGTGTACCTGAAGTGTAAGGGCGCTGGTGTGTTTTGTGACCAAAAAGTTGGTCAAATTCACAAAATACGCAAGTGCAGAGTTGAAAAGCAACAACCACACAATCCCAAAATCTTGTCTAGCAAGTGCTATCGTGATGCCAACGACATTCTCTTCCATGTATAGTGTTGCAGGAAGCAGAAGTACAACAGCAATAGGAGCCATGTACAGAAGGAGATTCATAGAGTTCAGCTTCTCCCTTTAAGCAAAATAATAAGCATTTACATGTATTTTGGTTGAATAGATAACAAAAACCCATGTAATTTGCTAGACTATATCATAAAAAAAGTGAATTGCATAATTCTTTACCCTTCAGAAGAAAGCAATATCCCTTGAACCACCGTTTTTAGTGCTCTTGCAGCAGTAGCACCAATACACATTATAAACCCGAAGAGATGAAAACTAGGCTCGCCCTAAGAAGTAAAAAGTGGCAAACAGTAATAATCAGAATCAAAATTATGCCTATTTACATAATTACATCAAAACGGCCACTGCTAGTCCTAATAACATACTTAATTATGGTGGAATAAATCAATTGTTTATCGCACCACTAACAAATATGCCTAAATCCAAATATACCTTTGTGTTCCCTGTGATCAGCAAGATTCCATCAATGCAAAGGTAATTTATCCAAGATAATCTACCCTTTATCTCCAATCTCCCCTTTGACTTTCGACGGTCAATTTTAAAATTTTCAAGTTATGCATGATTTAAAGAAAAAGATGATCTGATAATGTACATAACTGTATGTCAAAAACTAGATGTAAAGTAACTACCAACAATGGATAGGTGATTGCAAATAAACTACATGTAAAGCACTACCAACCACCAAAAGTAGGTGATTCAAAATTATATTTCTCTTTATAAGTTGAAACCGAACATCAGAGCTAAAATAGAATCAAAGGGCCAACTAACAAAATAATTAATTAAGTCAGGAGTGCCAACCCTCTTGCTATTCTGTATGCTTATCAACATATTACTATAATCTCCCAGTTTTGAATTGTAATCTATATGTTAGTAAAATTGAACATAATGGCAATTAATGACATGCAACTAACTCTATAGTATTCCTCCCCAACATTCTTATGTAATCTTAAACATAACAACTTGTTTTTCCTAGATACTGTAAGTTTATAACCCGTACAAATTCATATAGAAACTGTGATTTGTCAAAGAAAAGGGAACATAAATTGGCAACTAATATCTGAAAGAAACATACCCCACTAGCGATAATAACACCAGTCACGACAGGAATTAGGGTGATATAAGTAAGCCAAGCCTCCTTCTTCAAAGTCATCAGATAAGCAAACACCGCCGTGAAAAATGGCGTCGTAGCCCCAATCGCCTGATTAAACGACACTGGCAAATACCTGAGCGATATATTACCACTTACAACCGACCCACAGAAAATAAAACTCAGAGCAGAGATCTTAAAGAATTGGACACGTGATCGGATCGTCTGCATAGGAACCATCTTCAGCCATGCGATTGCGATGTAGCTTAGCAAAGCACAAGCAGTCATGTGACACATAGTGAGGAAGATCGGATACTTGAAACCATAATTGCTGAGCAAGTACTTGTTGAGCAACAAAACCCCAATGTTGGATGAGTACCACGACGTTACAAGCCCGATCGTGAAAAATCGGCTCGGCGACGGGGTCTTTATTGCCGACATTTTTTAAATCAAAATCGAAACTGAACAACTTTCCGTCAATCTAATTGATAATAATCAATCCTTCTCCCTCTACATCAACAATTAAGACAAGGCCGGCATTGGATCTGAGGGAGATCTGGGAAGCATTACGAAATCTATAAACAGGATGAACTGAATCAAAACACAGCTACGTGAAATTGAAGAGAGATAGAAGAAGAAGAAGAAAACACGGTTAGCGTTTTGACGAGGACGACCGGCGACCGACAATCGACGACCGGCGACGATTCAACCTTGTCCGTCTCCTTGCACAGAGAGGGCTTTGCGAGGAGGCAATTTCTATACGAGTGTTAGAACAAACGTATTTATAGTGCACATTAAAGGGTAAATATTAATTCTCTTTTAGTGAATTTACATAAATAGTACTTCACCTATTATACAAAATTAACTTTAGCCCCTCATTTGACAACTTTTGCTACGATAGTCCTTCTATAATGAATAAGATAACACTTGTTGTTAATAGTCTTCATTCACTACAACGAACATCTTTAAATTGTCAACATACCAATAATATGTCTTTAAATTTTCATGCAATAGACTTTTGACCAACCATCACTAACTGTTGCTTAAAAATCTGAGCAACCCGATCAATACAACCTAATCCAATGCAAAATAACTTGATTTGAACCATACTCATGTCTAATCGAGTTGTAAAATTTTCAAGCTGTACATATTAGGTTGGAATTGGTTTATGATTATTTGAATCCAACGGAATCCAATGAACCTAATATCATTTTATTTCTTGGATTTAATATATTGTTAAGTCTCTATTAATATGTACATTAAATGATTACACAATCACTTACCATTTACATAAACTTTCGATCTCTTCTCCATCTCTATATAACTCTTTTGTATATATGTTCAGTAAATGTGAACATACATACATACACACATACATATGTGTATGTATATATATACATATATATATATATATAGAGAGAGAGAGAGAGAGAGAATTTGTTTCAAATGCAACTCATCACATTTATACAACCAATGCACCCAATAAATTGAAATATTTATGAAAATGATAAGAATTTATTTATTATGATTTAAATATTTATGCAAGATGAATAAAGTTCATTAATTATGATCAATACTTTATATCAGGAAACAATCAAAACTGACAAAATAAATAATGAGTCTCTTTAACCTCATTAAGTTACTAACAAACATGCCCTAACTTCCTATATATATATACACACACAAATTTAACCGTTTTTTGTTTATTCAGTGTAAGTTTCACAAAAATATATGGAATTAATTCTAACTTTAAATCAACCTCATTAAATTAAATATTATAATTTTTTGTAAATAATCCAAGAACTATTATAATTTGGAAAATACAATTTGAAATATGATATTTCAATCAAGAATTAAAAAAAAAAACAGTGTTTTGTTTTTCATGAAATATAAAAATATCACATATTTGTTTTGATAGGCTATTTATTTATTTATAAATACATGTTATTAATTGAATAAATAAAATTAATGCAACATTATTATTATATTTTCTTATTTAGAAGTTAATGTTATTAATGTGTTGTATTAATGCTAAAGAGTAAATAATAAATACGGATGTGTTTTTTTAAATAACGCTTTTTTTTTCTTTCAAAAATAAATGCAACATTTTTATTTTGGAGAAATTTTCAAACCAATACCTTTAATTTTATAAAATAAAGATTGAAATTTGTAAGTTGTATGTTATACCCACAACACGTGTTACCCAGATACACTTCCAACGAGCCATGTAAACCTATAGAGTCGCACACAAAGAACACGTATGCTTCCACTAAAGAAAGAATCTAAACATGTGTACCGTTTTGTGATTATATAATTACAAGGTTTAATCTATAAATATGCATATAATTATCTTAAATATTTTTAGATAATTATATAAGATTATTAGATAAATAATCATTTTAGATAATGATTAAGCCTTATTAAGAGTTATGGTCAATCTCGAAGACTGACCATATAAATAAGGCTTAGGGGCAAAACCAAAATAGACGATTGAGTTCTGATAACTAGTTGTAGCCTCAAAACCCTTACGATACAATTATAGAATTATGATTCTTTGGGCTAGCACCCGGTGAGAGTTCCAAGCGTGTTCGTGTGTGGACAACCGATAGAGGAAACCTAATTTGGTTTCTTAGTGCTACATCAAAGTTTCAATTTCAAACACAAAATATTTTAAACACCCTATGGTTTGTGTAGATTCATTTTAGTTGTCAATGGATCCGGCTTTGGGTTTTATTTAGAAAAAATTTCTAAACGTTTTTGTAATTGGGTTCTGTTTTTCCGCTGGGTTTTATCCGGTTATTTTCGCAAACTAAAACCCAACAAAATCAATACTGAGGTTGCTTAGTTTTGGATGCCCCGGATGGAGAGTAAAAAAATGCCCCTCTCGCCCTTTGATGCTTTATTATTTGGGTTTGATTATTGATTATTGTACGTAGTTGATGTTATTACTAGAAGGGCAAATTGCATGAAAAAGTAACGTACTTTAACTTGATTCCTATTTTGGGTAACGTACTTTCAAAACTTCCATTTTGGTACCTAAGATGTAAAGTTTTAAACATTTAAGTACCCGGATAACTCGGCGAAGACTAATTTTAGATTAAAAAAAGACTAATTTAAGATTTAAAAAAATCCACGTAACTAACCACGTCAGCAAATAATACCGAGTTGGATACCACATCACCCGCCACATCAGCATGATAATCAGTTAATACTTCAACCAGTTACCCGGGTACTTAAATGTTTAAAACTTTACATCTTAGTACCAAAATAAAAGTTTTGAAAGTACGTTACCCAAAATAGGAATCAAGTTAAAGTACGTTACCTTTTCATGCAATTTGCCCTTACTAGAAATTACAAACTATTTTTTGCCTAATCTTGATGTTGGAACATAGTTGTTTGATCTTGGGGTTTTTATTGGTTTTGTGCTTTATCAGTTTTGTAGTTAATGTTCAACATATATTTGAAGCAAAGAGATTGTTTATGTGAAGATCCCGACTTGTGAGACAGTGATTGTGATGTTTATGAAACAGTTAATTGTATTGTTCAACAATATCTGTTATATAGTTTTACACTCGTTTTTTAAAAGTTTGTACACTACTACCTAATTGTAAGCAGGATTAAACAAGAAACAACTGCTTACACAGATTTCAGATGATAGGAATATGCTATTTTCTACAATTTACCCATAAGATCATGTCAGATACTACTACTTTCAATTTGGGACTTATAAGATGGAAGATTAGTTTAATAAATATGTCATTTATGATCAGATACACAAACTACCACTCAATAATAACAAAATAAAGATCGACTTTTTAACCTGGTATTCCTAAAATATCCACAACCAATATGGATTCGAATCTCTTTAGATCATGAATTTGAATCTCTATGGGTGCTTGAGATTGTTATCATTCCAAAGAAGTTTGATTTAAACAAACGTTACTCGAGTGGTCATTTTGTAATGATTGCTTATTGGAGCAAACAAAAACTAAAAAAACTGCAAAAAAAAAAATGCAAAAGAATGATGAATCTATAATATTAGGCATAATGTTGTTATTAGGATGAATGTATTACATGCACGTTTGTTTAAAACGAAATCCAGAATCTAAACAAGAGAATAATATAGGGTTAACGACATTGAGACAAAAAAAAATCGATTTCCATAGAATATTGAATGCTTGCTGCAGTTGGCAAGCATTGAAACAGAGGTAAATCAGATTTACATATGAACACCAACGATAGGATCCAATTGGCACTCAACATTTCAATATATGCATCTGTATATAACATCTAAAGGCAAAATAATTGAGCAAAATCAAAGGAGAAAACCAAAACATCAAGATTCAAGAGTAAATAAGTAAATCAATAAACAATAAATCATATAACTACAATTCTAGATAAATAAATGAAAAAAAAAAAGAACACCTGGAGCCTTAAAGAAATTGAGTGATTGAGTAACTAATGAGAAATTGAGAAACAGGTGGTGGTCGTGAGTCGTGGTGGGCTCTTGTCAACGCCTGAGTATTGGACGCCTAATGGTGGTGGTTGGTGGGCAGCACCAGAAACATGTGGTGGTGGTGATGAGCGATTGATAGCGTGACAGGGCTTGAGAGCAAGGGCAAAGGTGAGTTGTGAATGTACGTATGATAGGTCAAAAAATTCTATAGGTGAGAACGGATTTTTTTTTAAAAAAGATCAAAAATGAGTCTACTAAGCCTTGTATATGTGTTAGGCTTTCTGCCCCTTGAGCTTTGCTGCCCTGGGTGGAGCATATGGGCCGGTCTTACATCTCTGATTTAGTATCACATGTGATGGAATATAGTAAAAAAAGGTGTTATCATGTTTGCATAAAATGAATGTATTCTTGTTTGAATCCTTCTAAAATCAATGATTTATGCAAATATATTGTTGTTTTCATGTCAAAATGAATAAAGACACGAATTTGACATTGAAAACACTTTACATTTTAGACACCGGTTTTATCCTTAGAATTCCTTATACAACTTCTACCTTCAGTTTTCTTTTGTTTTTGCTTCAATCCAAAATCTTCTTTCTAATTCTCTCTAGCTTTTTTCCTAATGGTATTCTCTTGAACATCCTTGTAACCATTCATTTTCTCTTCAGACCCCATTCTCAACATACATATTGAGTCATGGGGTTCTCGGGTATGGTACTTATTGGTCCCTCTTTAACATTTTCATCTATTGTCAATTCGGCCTCAGAACGACTAATTTTATATTTGCACCAAAGGTTGGTGTGTGTTACACTATGTATCAAGTTAAACATGTACATACATACATACATACATACATACATACATACATACATACATACATACATACATACATACATACATACATACATACATACATACATACATACATANATACATACATACATACATACATACATACATACATACATACATACATACATACATACATACATACATACATACATACATACATACATACAAAGAGGTTCAAATAAGAAAGACATAAAGGTTGTGGACATAAAAATGAATGATATATATATGTGTGTGTGTGTGTGTGTGAGAGAGAGAGAGAGAGAGAGAGAGAGAAATATCACATCTTAGTAGAACCGCTAAGCTTTTGAGCTTTTAATAACAGTAAAAGGAGTTATCATGATTGTAACATTCCTACTGTC